CTTACGTAATATATATATATATATATATATATATACTCAAATATAACACAAGTATATGTTGGGACAAGTGATTGGTCTTTTTATTTAATCTTTCAAACGTTCTCGGATGTATAGTACTTTTTAGTTTCAATAAAAAGGTGTAACGTTTGCTCTGTTGTTCCCTTCCAGGGGAACCGGCATGGCCCATCCCACCAAATATGCTCGCCTATTCAGCCGTGAGGGCGTAATAATGTGGCGACCAATCCCACTATTTGTTGGTAGAAGAGTAGTCCAAGAGTTGGCGGTGGGTGGTAATGACTAGCTGCCTTCCTTCTAGTCTTTCACGACTAAATTAGGTACAGCTAGCGCACATAGTCCTCGTGTAGCTTTGCGCAAAATTCAAAAGAAACGCAACAAACCAAACCCTTCCAGTGGCTCAGGCATATAGCGCTAAGTCTTCCGCGGGCATAGCGCAGATATCCTAACGTGCAACTTTTTGCTTAAACAAGAAACAAACAAATCCGTTGTTGTTGATAATAATAATAATGAACTGTATCCGAATACCTTCTCAAGTTGAAAACAAAAGCGCAATTCATTCATAGGGTATTATGTCTGTCTCTAAACATAGGTTTAAAAACACCGAAACTGTTCCTTCTTCATAGTTAATGTTTTAAAACATGTTTCTGATCAGTTAGTCCTCAAGTTGCCAACTTGCTTTTACATCCTTCCATATATTGCACCATATTTTCCGTGTTATAACACTCATTGTAAAGAAATTACAAAACAAATTGGGGTAAAATCACTCATGCAAATTACATAACGAACTCCAGTAGCAATTAATGGAGTTAATGATGACATTTTTCTTCAATTTTTTGTGTGAGTCATACGTCATTGGGGACCACGTGACCAGCAAAGTCATGATGAACCTAAGTAGTTTAATGCATAAAAGTTTAGAAAAAAAAAGTTATTAACAAAAAAAAAACCGAACGAGCCACAAAGTAAACCGACTTAGACGTTTAAAGCTATTTATACTCAAGCTACTATAAGTGAAAAACTTACCTAAACGACAGGGCGGTGGTGTAAGCAAACTTCTTATTTCTAAACAATCAGGAAAAAAATGAGCTCTTGGGTCAAACGTTTCAGAAATGTTTCAGTTCGTCTATGAAAAACTGGACAATTCAATCTGTATTAATTAAAGTATCACTGGAAAAGTTGTTAACTTCTTTTGAATATCATCCTTAAGTGCGTGTTGTATGCCTGCAAACATCACGAGATACGTATGGATTTTAAATCTTCAAACAGTTTCAAATTAAGCAAGGTTCGGTGTAAGCAACCAGAATATGATGTTTTAACGATCCAATACACACGTTCTGTTCTCGGATGAAAGGTTAGCCAAATACGAAGCTATAGCTCATAATGATCATGTATTGTTTTTCTCTCGAGTTCTCGCATATTTTTTATGTATTTTTTCGGTTTGATTGATGGTGCTATACGGAACGCGTTATCCTAAGTGATAGGAACAATACGATTTTTGCATCAGAAATCTCAGGTTCAAGGGGTGTTTTAAGAAAGAACGGCAAAGTAAAAATTGTGCTAGGCAGAATAAAAAATACTTTCGTAAGGCATAAAACGCTTGCGAGCACCAGATTAGGCACGAACGAGGAACGTTATGGTGGAAGCAAACGATTACAGTTTGTCGCGTTAAAGGAAAAAACAAACCAGCTAGTCTGGCTTGCTGCCAAAAACATCAACGAGTCTTTTTATCCAATACTTTCTCGTGTTTCCTTTCTGATAAAACTTGACGTCTTTTTCACATAATTTTCATCAAATAATCAATTTATTTATTTATTTATTTTTTAGAGATTTGGAAATTGCTTTCTTCTGACTTAAATATTTCGATCTTTAAATATATTTAAAGTTCAGTGTTACTTTATCTGATTTATGAATTTAGTTTTAAAGAAAAAAATATTTTATTAAAAATGGAATATTTTAAACCCATTTCAGCTTGTAACTCCAATTGGTTTTACATTTATAAAATTTATTTTTAAAGCCCCTTCAGATACAAATGGATTCTGTATGGGTTTCTTCCTACACCTCTCCAGAAAATGGTTTTAATAAAAACTAATCTCTAATTAGTATTATTTTTTAAATGACGTTCAAATCGCCGATTGGACAATACGTTTTACAGTCGTTTGAATAGAACGACAACAAAAAGACTGATTGTATTGTAGGTTAAAACTTTCGGTGGTAACACAATCGGCATCAACTAACACTATTCGATGTTTGAATATCACACAATTTTTACCAATGGAGTGAAAGACGAGCTACAACGTTCACGCCTTTTTTTGTTCAGACCACGAATGTTGGGACGGACTGTTACTGCTATAATGCACCCACATATTAAAGTGTAGAGCGAGTTCAGCGGCAGATCGTAGCTTAAATCTTGGACCTTTCAATTTTCTAATCACTGGACTATTCACGGTCCATCACTGATTTCTATTGTTGTTGTCTTTAAATGAATAATGAAAAGGTTATGATCTTGACCAATATATAGCAATATGTTGTTGAGAAAACATTGATCTTGACCAATATAGCAATATGTGGTTGAGAAAACATTGATCTTGACCAATATAGCAATATGTGGTTGAGAAAACATTGATCTTGACCAATATAGCAATATGTGGTTGAGAAGACATTGACTAGAGAAACCCGTAAGGATTTGTTTCTTGAATTTCGCGTAAGGTCTCAGTGACACAGCAGCATGTCTGCGAACTCATATTGCTAGAAACCTGGTTTCGATACCCGTTATGGACAGAGCACAGATAGCCCTTTGTTTAGCTTTTTGCTTAATAATAACAACAACAACGCAAGACTACGTGAAGGTTATCTGTGCTAGCATTCACTATTATCAATGTGAAAGACTAGAGGGAAGGGAGCTAGCTAGTAAACCCACTCGCTGCTAACTCTTGGGTTATTCTTGTCAGAGCAAATCGTGTGATTTAACTGTCACACTTATAACATACCAACTACCCCAAAATGTGTAGTACAATTGTCTTGGTTGTTAATGGGACGCGAACCATGAAAACTCAGGCCCAAAGTCTAGCACACTAACTGCTGTACTGGGCTCAACTCAAAAGGGGAACCTTGTGCACAACTTAAAATTAGTTTGTACATTTGTGTATACGCGAGTGTGTTATTTACTTTTCCGCTATTTTTAGTGACATAAACATTTTCGAGTAGTTTTGGCATGAAAACATTATTCTAGAAGATCTTTGGAATTTTTAGGCTCGATCATGACCTTGTGACCCTTTGTCTTACTGTCCACTTTTCGTATCAAATTTCATTTCCTTTGACTGCAAAATTTAGATACATAAATTATTTGTAATATCTAACACTGCAAGTGTTAAGAGAGAGAGGTAGATCGCGTGACGACACAATCGTAAGACTAGGGAACAACATGAAACTTAGGTTTCGGGTTCTTTCCTAATGTCTTTCGTCGTTTTGAGAATTTTTAGCTCGAGGGAAGAAAAGCTGAAAATTTAGTCCTAGTTTACTTGTCTACGTAGGTGGACACACACTTATTTTTATTTTGTTGTGTTTGTAATAAAAATTAGTTTCACTGTCTTTAAAAATCTTACAATCTTTTCCGACTCTGCTGTTATTAGCAGACCTATTTTACAGAGAATCTTGTAGGGAAATCACCTGATCTGAGAATCCCACAAATGGATAGATAAGAAGAAATTTGATCAAATGATCAAACGATATGCTGTGAGGTTCTTGATTTTGCTGATGTGCATATTAGCCTTTCTTAGTCAATTGAGTTCATAAGAATTTAAAGTAAAGATTTTACAGGAAGAATGGCTTGTTCGTGACTTAGAAGTACTCACAATGATCAAGTGGGAAAATTTAGGAAAGCAGTTATAACTAAGAGTCATAGACGTGAATCGGCACTCATTGAGTATGACACCACTTGGGAAGGTCTTTACAGAACCCCCAGGTGAAACACAACAGTCCAAGCTCTTGTACAGCGCTAGCCGTCCCTAATTTAGCAGTGTAAGACTGGAGGAAAGGCAGCTAGTCATCACCACCCACCGTCAACTCTTGGGCTACTCTTTTACCAACGGATAGTGGGATTGACCGTCACATTATAACGCCCCCCACGGCTGAAAGGGCGAACATGTTTGCGAGTCGAGCGCCCTAACTACCTGGCCATGCCGGGCCATTTATTATGAAGGATTTCTTTTTTTTTTATTTTGACTGATTATGTTTTAGATTTATGTAAAAGGCTACATTCTTGCTGAATTGGGTTTTCATTGGGTCATCGTGTATTAGAATTTTAATTTTAAAAGGTTATTTTGTATTACGACTGTGTGAGGTTTTTTAATATTTTTACTTTTTTGGGCATAACAATTTTTTTAAATTTGAATTTACTTTTTATTAAAGGGTATTTCATGTTTGTATTATGCATTGTTTAATAATTAAAGGAATTAGTATGTGTAGTGTTAGACCGCTTTAGTTAAAAAGTAATATTTTCAGAATTATGCTGTTTTTCATAATTTCCCATTTCAGCAAAACAGTGTTGCTGAAATGAGTCATTAACTCTAATTTTTTAATGGGGCAAAAACTTACTTGTTTCACCCTCTTACAGGAGTAACAATGTTGTTTTTAATTTGTAAGATGAGGTATTCTTGTAGGTAAATCAGATAATAGTTGCGAGGGGACTCACTCTTCATCTTCACTGTCCTTTGGCCAGCTGATCTAGCAGAAAATCATTAAAACTTTTCGGTTTGAGAGTCATCTTGTAAAAGAGGCAAAATAATTTTTTTGAAACTAATATTATTGTTAAAGAAAAAATTAAGACCGTACTTTAAGGATAATTTCTATGGCCATTAAATTAAATTATAGAGATTGGTATTTTTTATGTTAGGCTTAGCGTTGTTACAGTTTTGTTTGGCCCCCCAGTGGCACAGCGGTATATCTGCGGACTTACAATGCCGGAAACCGGGTTTCGATACCCGTGGTGGGCAGAGCACAGCTAGCCCATTGTGTAGCTTTGTGCTTAATTCCAATCAAACAAACAAATCTTTTGTTTGAGTTAAACGAACAAGCGTCATGCTCTAATTACTCCGTACACTAGAAGAAAGATATATCACGAACAAATATGATCTTTTAATATTTATTTTTCGAAAATGAAATTTAACGCAAAGAAATTGCCTATAAAGTTGCTTAATAAACTTGAGTAACTGTCGATTTTCTGAACTCCATCAATCGTTTTAAACACTATGTAAATTTTGTTTGACATGTTTCTGTGAGATAAGTGCTTCTTGGCACAATATATTCTCATGGGGTTGTGACACTTAGCCTTAAATATATTATCATGGGGTAGTGACACTTAGCCTTAAATATATTCTCATGGGGTTGTGACCCTTAGCCTTAAGTATATTCTTATGGGGTTGTGACACTTAGCCTTAAATATGTTATCATGGGGTTGTGACACTTAGCCTTATTCAGTGTATGGTTAAACAGGATTTTAAAAGCTTGTCTTTGCAGTAAAACATCTGTTGCGACAATCACAGCAGAGCAGGCTAACAATTCTAGATAAAGAACCTAGTAGTCTTATAGATACTACACTGAGGTTTCTAATTTGAGAGTTGGTACATTTTAGGATAGAGGCGAGCGGAAGTGATTAAAGCACTGTCGTGTATTATCATTTGTAAGCTGAAGCCTATTATTGATTGTTTGTTTGTTTTGAATTTCTTGCAAAGCTACACGATGGCTATCTGCGCTAGCCGTCTAATTTAGCAGTGTAAGACCAGAGGGAAGGCAGCTAGTCATCACCATCCACCGCCAACTCTTGGGCTACTCTTTTACCAACGAATAGTGGTATTGGCCGTCTCATTATAACGCCCCCACGGCTGAAAGGGCGAGTATGTTTGGTGGGACGGGGATTCGAACCTGCGACCCGCAGATTGCCGCGCTCGAAGCCGACTGAATAGGAACATTAAAAACAGCTATTGCCTACAAACTCAATCAGAAACATGATGAACTTTAATTGGCTGCATTATTAAGTATTCTTGGATTTGTTTGGCAGAAATAATTGTAACGAAACTAATAATTTAAATCATTCCCTCTGCATGGAAGTAATATTAGAAAATATTAATTCTAAAGTTACTTTGATTTTTTTTACCGCTAAACAGGTATTCAGTTTGACATATCGTATCAATAAAACATTAGGCAGAGTAGGTTGGATAACTTTAATGGATTGCAACTGCCTGTTGAGTGAAAAGAGGGCAACTCAGTTTGACAGTTTAGTTTTTCACATCACACATATGTTCCTTGCAGTATCATCGCTATTGAAACTTTAGTAAACAATTAAATGTTACCAATTATACCTTCACACAACATATAGTTCTAAGCTGTGATGTGTTTTTTATTTTTTTTAATTAAGACGTTTGTATTGTTTATAACTCGAATGAGTTTTTAATGTCACGTGAAGAGAGCGTGTTTTAATGCCTAGAACTGGAAAATGATTTGAACGATATATAAAACGCAAGTTAATGCGAGAGTAGATGAGATTGTTGATTGAATGTTGAATCATTCAGTCAATTATTTAGTTCAGCTCTGAAATTTAGATTTTCTGTTTTAAACGATGTAGTACAGAAACGACTA